GGGAGCAGGAGGGGATCTCAGAGGTACTGTGAACCTGATGGACCCCCCCAGCCCCTGTGATCAGGCCCCAGAAACCCCATTTCACCCAGGAAAAGGAAAACAAAACAAAAACACCCATGAACCTCTAGGAATCAGTTCCTGGGATGGCTACAGAATGGCCGGAGCTTACCCTTTACACTTTAAAGGCGAGGAAATTGAGACTTAGAGAGGTTGTTAGGTCACTTCAACTTCCGGGAGGCTGAGGCCGGAGGATCGCCATGTAGAGGCCAGCCTCAGCCACTTAGTAAGACCCTAAGCCATTTCGAGAGGCCCGGTCTCAAAATAAAATAGAAAAAAAAAAGGGGGGGCTGGGGATGGGGCTCCCGTGGTTAAGCACCCCTGGGTTTGATCCCCAGTGCCACAAAAAAAAAAAAAAAGGAGACAATCGATTTTTTTTTTTTTTTTTTGGATGAGGGAAGAAGAGCCTTATGGTCAGGGTGGAGCATGGATGAAGTAGCCCTGAAAAGTTCTGCAGCTTATTCATCTCAGGGCTCCAAATGCGCTTTATCGGGAGCGGCTCCACCTCCCAGGGCTGGGAGCCAAGCAGGCCATCTGCTTCTGGGGCTGGGCCTCCCTCCCTCCTCTGAGGCTGGGCCTCCCCCCTCCCCCCACCCCCCCCCCTTGGGTGCAGAAGTTCCAAGAAAAAAAAAAATCTCAGCCTCTTCTGCAACCTGATTTTTTTTTTCTTTTGCTGCTGTGGGCATCAAGGTTTCTTGCTGCTGTTGGCTGGGGACACCCCACCCCTAAGAGAGAGCAGGGACCATTTTTTTTCCCCCAGGCACCTGCTCAGAGCCCCCTCCCCACCCGCCATGTCGGTCCATTGTCTCCTGGTTTGCATTCTGCCACAGAATCCTGGAGAGCCCTCCCCAAGATGAAGTCACCCCAGGTCACCAGCTTCTGCGTTCCAGCCTCTGGGACAGAGAAACAAACCCCCGTGATGGGGGGTGGGTGGGCTCTCCATAAGTGGCTTCCTGTGCAGGGGCGGGGGGTGACAGGCAGGGACAACCTATAGGTCCACCTCCCTGTCTCCCTGGCCACCGCTGTTTCTGGACTATTTTGGGTACCACGGGTGGCGCCTTGCCAACCCCCCAAAGCACAAACGATTTCCTTTCTCTTTTCACGGCTGTGACAAGCTCCGCCAGGTGGCAAGCGACTTGCCCCCGGGGCGGGTCACTTGCGGTTTGGGCAGACCTTCAGAACAGGTCGCTCTGGTGGCGCTGGGAAGGGAAGGTGCCCTGGGGACCCGCACATCTGGGTTTCTTAGTGCACAGTCACGATTGCTCATCTGCAAAAAAGAAGATGTCCCCTGATAGGGGACATTTCCAAGCGGTGACCAACAGCCAGGTGTGAATGTGGGCATTCCACCAGAAAGCCCAGAGCTGGAGGCGGGCTGTCCCTTGTCAGTGATCGGGGGCCCTGGGGCTGGAGGCAGCCGGAGGGAGAGCGGGTGATGGAGGCTCCACCCACAGCAGGTGTTGGGGGGGAGGGGAGCAAGTGGCGACCCCCCGGGGACAGGAGAAGCTGCTGGAAATACCAGAAAGCAGCTGGACTCTGCAAACAGGCTGGCTTCTGGAAGCTTCCTGCCTCTGAGCTTGCCTTTCAAGCCTGGGGGGACCCTCAATGGACACTAATCCCTGGGCCTGGTGGAGGGCTCCTCTGCTCAGTTCTCCTTCAGCTGGGGACATAGCAGTAAACAGGACAGGCAAGATCTCTGCCCTGGGGCGAAACAGGGGGAAGCCCAAACAATCCATTAAAAACGTGTGACTGCATAAATAACTGTACATGGGGACCAACTTAAGTGGTCAGGAAAGCCCTGGCTGAGATGGGCATGATGGCACACGCCTGTCACCCCAGCAGCTGGAGAGGCTGAGGCAGGAGGATCGCAAGGTGGAGGCCAGCCTCAGCCGCTTAGCAAGGTCCTGAGCAACTCAGCGAGACCCTGTCTCTAAATAAAATGGAAAAAGGGCTGGGGACGGGGCTCCGTGGTGAAGCACCCCTGGGTTCAATCCCTGGCACCAAAAAAAAAAAAAAATCCTGGCCGAGACACCCGCAGGGGGAGGGACGAGCTGGAATGCCAAGATGGGGGGGGGGGGGCAGAGGGTGGCAAAGGCTCAGCGGGTGCAGAGAGGCTCGCCAGCAGCGAGCTCCAGCCGGCTCCAACCTGCTCATGATGGCAGATCCTGCACATCTCTTCTTGGTGACATCTCATTACTAGCTCCAAACCAGGCCTGGTGGGAGCACTGACACTGCAGTTTGGCAAACACACGGGGACCCCCGCCACCCCCAGTTGTTAAGCATTTAACAGCACATCCCTGATTGGCATATCTAGGCGCCAGAGAGGAGGCTTGGGAGCACGTGAGCAGGGACGAGGGGGGGAGGGAGGCGATGGAGGATTTCCAGGCGGCCAGGTTTGGTGCAGCTCCTCTGGGGAGTCCCTGGAGGCTTCAAAGCAGAAGGGTAACGTGATTTGATTCCACTTTGCCAGACAGAATCTGCAAAGCAGACTCTGGTCCAGGGAACAAGTAAATGGTGGGAGGGGAGATGGATTGATCAGAACAGGGAGTCCAGGCAAGATCTGAATCCAGGGACTAAGGAAAAAACCACCAGCCGCAGCAGAGATTTAAGACAAGAATGAGTAGAGGGGCTGGCCTGTGGGTCTGAGCATGCGCACTGAGGGCTAGAGGCGGGGCTGGGGTAGCAGGGCGTGGCAGTGGGAGGCGGGACTGGAATAGGAGGGCGTGGCAGCAGGAGGCGGGGCTAGAATAGCAGGGCTTGGCAGTGGGAGGCGGGGCTG